AACTACCTGGCTTTTTGAAACAGCTGAGGTATTCAGTTAGCTTGGACTGTTCCACCAGTCTCAGCTTTTCTGATATGCTTTAGGCCCCAAGCCTTTCTTTTTGACTTTTTGACACTAAAAGAGAAAGTAAGTGGTGTTTAAATTTATTTTCTGCATAACACTGACTGGTTTACTTTATATCTTAGGAAACTTCTAAGGAAATATTTATCATCAATGAGAAGAATAGGGCACATTTCCAAATTCATCCTTAGTTGAAATTAGATGTAGGATCTCAAATCTTTTCATCCATATCTGCTCATGGTTTTTTCAAAGCTTCTAGGAATGTTACAGTTTATAGAACATGTGTTTGGGTTCTATAAACAAAGCAATGCCCAAAGAAGGGTCTACCTAGAATCAATACACTTTAAGTGGGGCACATGTCGCTATGATGTTTCAATACTTTGGTATTAAAGTATAATGTAAATTAATATACTGTGATGCAGTGTTTTATTTCTTAGAAAAATTAATGAAAAAATATTTTTCAACTGCCAAAAAAGATAATTGTCCCTGGTATGGTAAAATCTTATTTATCAAATTTAAAGCTAAATTTATCTTCAAAAAGAGAAAATAAATGCAAGATAACATGACTAAATTGGATTTGTACATTGTTTTTTCTTTATATTTCATACATTACCACAGGCAGCTTTAGCTGAATAAGCTTGCTTTGTGAAAGCAATAGTTTTCATGTTATTTTGTTAAAAATGTGTTTATCTGCAAATTAAAACCACAATGAGATATCAACTCACACCAATAAGGATGGCCAGCATCAAAAAGACTAAGAACAACAAATGCTGGCGAGGTTGTGGAGAAAGGGGAATCCTCCTACACTGCTGGTGGGAATGTAAGCTAGTTCAACCATTGTGGACAGCAAGATGGAAGTTCCTCAAAAAACTAAAAATAGAAATACCATTTGACCCCGGAATCCCACTCCTTGGAATATACCCAAAGAATACAACTTCTCAGATTCAAAAAGACACGTGCACCCCTATGTTTACTGTAGCACTTTTTACCATAGCTAAGATATGGAAGCAACCTAAGTGTCCATCTGTAGGTGAATGGATAAAGAAGATGTGGTACATATATACAATGGAATACTATTCAGCCATAAGAAAGAAACAAATCCTACCATTTGCAACAACATGGATGGAGCTGGAGGACATTATGCTCAGGGAAATAAGCCAGGCAGAGAAAGACAAGTGCCAAATGATTTCCCTCATTTGTGGAGTATAACAATGAAGCAAAACTGAAGGGACAAAATGTCAGCAGACTCACAGACCCCAAGAATGAACTAGTGGTTACCAAAGGGGAGGGGTATGGGAGGGTGGGTAGGGAGGGAGGAAGAAGGGGCCTGAGGGGTATTATGTTTAGTATACATGGTGTGGGGGATCATGGGGAGAACAGTGTATCACAGAGAAGGAACATAGTGGATCTCTGGCAACTTGCTGCACTGATGGACAGTGACTGCATTGGGGTGTGGGTGGAGACTTGATAATATGGGTAAATGAAGTAACCAGATTGTTTTTTCATGTGAAATCTTCATAAGAGTGTATATCAATCATACCTTATTAAAAACTAAACAAACAAATAAATAAATAATGCATTTATCATCTCAAAATATATGGTTAGTTGGTTAAGATTAATATTCTTTCAGCATTAACAATGTGAACACAACTTAACAACAACCAAACTGTCATCACTATATCAGTGAAAAGTATGTTAATTTCTAGAACCTTGTGGATGACTAATGGATTACACTATAGGAGAGAGAAAGTCAAGATGTTTGTTTTTCTCTAGAGACACAACAAAATATCTGTACTGATGCCAACTCCATGCACTAAAAAGAATTCACTTGCACTGAAAATTTTCATTTACTGGATTGCCTTTGTAAATATGTAGAACTGAAAACTGAGTATAACTATCAACAAACACATAAATTATTATTCCAGGCCATATTTTCTAAAACTACCTTAAAGCAGATACTCCAGTTTAGTTTCCACAGTATTTCTCATTCTGCACAAAATGCCTACATGGAATTCTTATCCATGTGAAAAATAGAATTCACAATGCTCTAGATAAAATTAATGTTTGTTCTAGGTACCTACTGTTGTTTAATAAACTACACCTTACAGTGGCTAATGACAACCATTTGATTTTGTTCATGACTTTTTGCATCAGAATTTAAGAATAGTTCAGCTCAATGGTTTGTCTCCAAACTATATGGCATAAGCCACAGCAGCTGGGGCTGAAGGATCCACTTCCAGCATGACTTCTTCATTTACACGTCTATTAGCTTGGTGCTCACTGGACTCTCTTTCTTCAAATGGTATCTTTTTCTCTAAGTGGCTTGAGCTTCTCACAGCATGGTAGTTTCAGAGCAGACCAAGAGACCTGAAGAGATGTTGCAAGGTTTCTTTTGACCTAGTCTCCAAAATCTCAGAATATCACTTCTGCTATACTGTACTGGTCAAACATGTCTGTAATGCCAACCCAGATTCAAGGAGAGAGGAATGAGAAACTATGTTTAAATGTAGGAGTAGCAAAAAATCTGTGGCCAACTTTTGTCTGCTACCGTGTTGTCTCAAGTAATTTTAAGTATTGGGATTTGGGAAACCTGAACTTGGTAATGCACTTAGCAATATGAATTGTTGTATTTTTTGGTAGTTCTACTTTTAGTTCTAATTTGAAGACATCTAAAAACTGAATGAGCTTGATATACTTTAAAAAATTTTTAAGGAAAATCATTTCCCGAAGTTTTCATCATCTTACTGAATTCTGAAAGTTTTCCAGATATACACAGGGATGTCCAATCACCCTAAGTATCATTATCTCTTTTACACCTGGGGTTTCCAAACCTTCATCATTCCAACTGCAGAACTCCCCCTGACACTAAGGAGCTCTTTGACATTTATAGTGCTCCTAATAGTATCACCTTACTATGAGGCATAAAAGTAAGTTACAAAGTGATTTCCAGTGGTGAATACATGGTGCTAAATAAATCTGTGGAAAAGTTCAGATCACTTAAAAGTAACAAGTCATGTGCTCTTTGAAATGCCAAGGATCTGGTTTATCTGATTTTGTCTTCCTTTCTCTGAATTAAATGGTTGCTTTAGCATCTCAGAGAAACAGTCTTTTGGGGATGAAAAATGAGAAAGACTCCATCTTTCTATCAATAAAGTTGTTTACAAATTGTGTTGCAAACTAAAATCTGTAAAACCCACCCTTGCCTCTAATGTAAGTTGGAAGCAAATTACTTTAGTAATTTTACAAGGTTGTGTTAATGGTAGGTTATTTTGGCATATATCCCTATGTTGGAAATCATATTTTTACAAATCACATATCTTAGAGATGTCCTGAAAGGCACATACAACTGTTAAACCCAGTAAATCTGAATGAAATGTATTCCCTACAAGGGTCTCTGTCCTTGCTTTAAAGCAGTACTTCTCAAACTTTTCTGTTAAAGCTTGCCTAGTGACAGAGAAGACTAAAGAAGTATCCACCCAGGGACTGTGAACCAAAAGAGATGCATGTTTATTTGAAATAGTTGTGTGAGTTTTGCTTTTTAGTCAATATATAAGTTTTCATATAAAGACAATTTACCACTTAAATGTCCCTAAGAACTAATAACACAAGATCAACTTCTGGCTTCGTATAACCCCTGGCAAATCATGGAATACTCTTGAGGTACCTTTATCCCAGTATAGATGGAAATACGTAAGGAAAAATTACTGAGCGAGTGTATCAGCCCGTGTACATTTGGCTTTAACAAACTATTATGACTACAAAATAATTCAAGTGGTGGCAAGAGAGCCACAGTCTAATACTTCAGCATTATCTACAAACTATTCACCATTTCTATAGCCCGTTCTTAATGACATGTTTATTATTTCTCTTCTTATTTTAAAATACTTAACTTTGATACGCACAGTGCTAAGTTGCACTAACTACAATGTGCTATATTTCATTTTAGAAAATGAATAAGCTCTTAGGAATATAATTTTCTCTCACCTATTTTCAAGATAGAAATAAGCCTCTAACAATCCAAGCTGGAATGGAAAGATCAGAAGCTGAGTCAAAAACTTCCAAAGTGAGTGAAGTATTAGGGCCAATTCATCTTCCCTGACTATATAATTGGTAGGTTCTGTTGTGGCCACGTATTTCAATAAATAATATACCCAACATACGCCTATAATACATTTCCAGCATATTTACTCAGTTCTCTTGCTTAGAATTGAAGAACATTTTCTTAGAATTTAAGAATAGAAAGAAACCCACGATACATGAAAGCTCACAGATATTAAAGGTTTTGGTTTGAAAGAGATACTAGCAGACCTCTGAGTTTCAAGTTTACAGTTCTTGAAATACAAGGATTAGTGGTAAGGGACTCAAAAAGGAGACTCAATACCTTCTGTCCTAATTTGAGTCTGCAGAAAAGAACAGTAGCACCCATAAATCAACTTGTTACTTTTCCCAACACCATATAATTTATAAATATTCAGAATCTCAACCTAAAAACAACTTTTAAAAAGCCCTGGATTGTGTCATTGGAAATAATACCAAATCATTTTAAAGGCTGTACTGAGGGGCTCTTTTATTTTTAAAAATGTTTGCTCTGTAGGAGTTACTGCTCTCTAAACAAAAATTTTTGGCTGACAATCATGAGGTTTCTGTGCCGATCACCAATGCATGATACCCATGAATCTATCAATCACAGAGTTAAAAAGCTGTGTTCTACAGCATACTTAATACCCAGTGTAACCAATTAGTATTACCCACTCCTTGATGCAATACAAACTCATTTCCTTAAACTGCTATTGCACTGAACTCCAGGGTTATAAATGAGCAGACACAAATTGATTTGCATGTAATAACAGTGGCAATAAACCTTTCCCGGCTCATGCAGTTTTCCCCATCTGTTAACAGAGAGCAACTTCAGGATCTATTATTCCCAGAAGGCGACTTACCCAGCTGGACATCTATAACACTTGGCTGATTCTCCATGGGGAACAATGGCTTGGGAGGCTTGTCTGTGAGTAAAGCTAGAAGAGAAAATGAAAGAAGGTAATAGGAAAATTGAGATAAATTACAGGATAAGAAAGATCCTATCATGCATGATATTTAATGTTTGTAGACTTGATGGTGTGTAAACATTTATTAGACAGTATTCCTACTTGAGTTGTTACTCTAGCCGTACAATATCCATTTCCCAGCACATTTAGAACACCACTGATTTGCTGTAATAGGCCATTTTGACAGCTACACTTTCCGACAAGATCAAACAAATAGATTCTTCTGAGTGATTATTATAAGCTTGTGAGTGTAAAGAAATATAGATTTTTTAAGTATAATAAGGTAAGCATTAAATATCCATGCCTACTTTCTGGTATGAAATATTCTTAATGAAATATAACCCTAATGGACATTTCTCGTCAGTTGAATCTTCCATGCCTCTGAGTCATTCCTCATTCCCCACCTCAAACTCCGGAACAATACAATAAAGCACTGATACTATTGTTAGGATAATTCATCTAAAATACTGATTGGGCACCTTTTGTCTACCAACTCCTGTGTAAGTGCTAAGGAAGAAAGAACTAAAGCCTTTATCTCCACCCTCAATTTACAACAAACACAGAATTGGCACACCAAAATAAATAAATAATAGAACAAAGAATACAATCCAGTAAAAAAAATTGTAGCATTTCATCTACAAGGCTATATGTGGTAAAGGAATGGAGAAAGGAGAGGTCAGTATTGGCTGGCAGTGCTGGGGAATATTTTTACGAAGAAAATGGTTCTCCACATAGACCTTATGGCATGGGGAAGATTTGGAAAGGCAGAGAGTAAGGAAAAAGAAATACAGGAAAGATTAACAACACAAAATTAAGAAAAGAGGTAGAATTTAGCAAGAATAATGTGACTAGAGGAAAATGATCTGGTGAGAAGTTGGGTGTCGTGGGGTAAAGAGAAAATTGTTCATGATTTGGAGTAATTGGAAACAAAACTAGATAGATAGGATGGAGCTCAGTTCTGGAGAATCCTGTGAAATATGCAGAGAATTTGGACATGATGCAGTAGACTAGAAGGGCCATTTTAGATTATAGGAAGAACAACAAAAAAGTCTCAAAAGAATTGCTATCTAAAAATGATTGGCCTGATATATAGGATTAGCTGGAGAGGAACAAAACCAGCTAAAAGGATGCAGTAACCAATGCTTTGAGAGGTACCTGAAATGAAGAAATGAGAGAACTTGGCACATAGACAAAATGCTTTATGACAAACCTTATATCAAGCTAATATTTATATCCCAAGTTCCTTTTAATTGTTCCTGTATTTATGTCTTGCTTCAACTATCCCAATGGATTCTTAACTAGGAAAGTAAAATGTTTTATACTTCTTTGAAATTCACAGGAAACAGGATAAAGCTGGGTATATAAAAGATAACTGTTAAAACATCAATAATTGACTGGCTTAGGATTCCCTGCTGAAATAAGAGACTTTTATCTCATATTTGCAAGGCTGTTTAGAAAAAGAAACAAAAGTTGATCACATGACAGATAAGGTTAGAGAAATATACAAATATGGTAAGATTTCCAAAATAGTTGTTGATGACAAATACACCAGAAATTCACTTTAGAAGGAACTGTAGATAACATGAGCTTCATCGTCCTGGTATCCAGACTGCCTAAAATTGGAAAATTTCAGTGAATTGTTCTTATTTTTCCAACAAACTTTTGCTGATGGCCAATAACACATCTTGTCCTTATGGAATTGAATAATATATGTTTCTAAGCTGATATGGCATAATGTAGAGAATCATACAAATGTAAAATCTATAGTCTGTTTTCTAAATGTTTCAGTTACTCTTAATAATATGATACTTAAATATTACATGGAGAATCCCAGGTTCCAAGCATATGCATTTTCTCTTTCCACAACTTTGCTGTGTGGCCCCAGGTATTATGTAATTTCCAAGATTTGCAGGAATTTCCACATACACACTGAGGAAGCAACTACATCAAATACAGCTAACCCTAAATATGACCTGAGGACTCCAGAAGAGACCATCTACACCTTGTGGAGAAGAGAGGACCACATTTAGAAGGGTAAAAGGGGAGAGCTATGACACATGGGGACCCAAGCCCATTCCCCTCCCAGACCACAAGCAAGAGTGAGAGGAACAGAGTTGAGGAGTGGGGGTAATAAATGCTTAGGAATCCAGCACACCTGTCCCTAGAGATCTGCTCTGGGAACATGAGTCCACATTGTATTTGACTTTGGTGATTTACATTGCTGAACAAAAGGAAAAATGTAACATTCTGGGGGGCTGAGACTTCTGTTGCTTGTGGAGGGCAGGCAAGCTCTGTTGGTCCCACTGAGACCCAACACAAAAGTGGCAGCATGAAAAATTTACCAGCAGTGGGAAGTGTGTCAGAGGGAAGGGGTTCAGAGGGAACTCTCTCCAGAGGAGAAAGGGCAAGTAGATGATACTTTCCCATCCCTCCCTCAGCCCAATTAGTCAGAAGCTTGCAGGAGCCAGCTCTGAAACCCTTCATCTCCTTCTCTGGCAGTTTACTCAGTGGCACTCGCCTGCATACCCACCCTGCCCAGCACACTCAGCCCAGCAGTGGTTCGATTTGGCTGGTTGCAGGCAGAGGGTGGACTACACTTTCCCAGCTCTCCCAGGCTATCCTCAGCTCAAGTGGCCAAACACTTGTGGGAGTCAGCTCTAAACTCTACATCTGTACCACTGGCTTAACCCCCACACCCCACAGCATGCCTGTTCCAACCAGCACACTCAGCCCAGTGGCAGTCCCCCATTGCTGATGGTAGGCAGAGGACAGTCCCACCCACAATAAATCCCAGCAGAAGCACCTCAGACACACAAAGGGCATGTAGAGACTAATTACTGTTGACAGATAAGCAGAAAGGGGGCCTCATGAACAGCCCACCAGCCGCAAGTATGGCTCAGCCACAAAAGAAAGCCAGGCACTTGTGATCAGAAAGTATTGAGCTTCTTTCAACATAAAAATAAACCTACAGTAAAGGCAACAGACCAATTACTTACAAAGCCAGTATGAAGTTAATAAAAGAAAAGTAATAATACCAGCTGTACACAAAATAAGTCAAGGGATACACAGAAGATACAGATTATGACATCTTGTACATAAAAAGTGGGGGAAGAAGAAGAAGAAAAAAGTAGTACTTTTAGAATGAGTTTGAAATCAAGCTACCATCAACTTAATATAGACTGTTATATATTTAGGAAACTATCTATGAATCTTATGAGAACTACAAACCTAAAGCTTATAATAGATAAATTAAAAATTAAAAAAAGGAATCCAAGCATAACACTAAAGAAAACCAAGAAATAACAAGATTATAAGAGAGGAAAAAGGAACAGAGAGGAGCTACAAAAATAATAAGAAAACAACAAAATGGCAACAAGTTCATACCTATCAATAATTACCTTAAATATAAATGGACTGAGTACACCAATCAAAAGACACAGGGTGGCAGACTAGATAAAAAACCAAGACCCACCTACATGCTGCTTACAAGAGACACACCTCAGACCTAAAGACATGCATAGACTGAAAGTGCAGGCATGGAAAAAGATATTTCATGCAAATAAAAGGGAGAAAAAAAGCAGGAATAAAAGTACTTATGTCAAACAAAATAGACTTCAAAACAAAGAAAGTAACAAGAGGAAAAGGACATTACATAATGATAAATGGATGAGTCCAACATGATATAACAATTGTAAATATCTATGCACCCAACATAGGAACACCAAAATATAAAAAAAAATACTAACATACCTAAAGGGAGAAACAGACAGCAACACAAACATTTCAGAGAATTTTAACACCACACTTACATCAATGGACAGATCATCCAGACAGAAAATAAGTAAAGAAACAGAGGCATCAAACAACACATTAGATCACATGGACTTAAGAGATATACAAAGAACATCCCACCCAAAAGCAGCAGGATACACACTTTTTTCAAGTGTGCCTGGAACATTCTCCAGAAGAGATCACATAGTAGGCTACAAGAAGAGCCTCAATAATTTAAGAAAGATTGAAATTGTATCAAGCAACTTCTCTATCACAATGGTATATAACTAGAAATAAATTATGCAAAGAAACAAAAGTATGCACAAATACAGGGAGGCTAAACAACATGCCTCTAAATAATCAATGGATCAATGAACAGATCAAAGAAAATCAACAATACATGGACACAAATGAAAACAGAAAGACAACGGTTCAAAATACGTGGGATACAGCAAAAGGAGTTCTAAGAGAGAAGTACATAGAAATACAGGCCTACCTCAAGAAACAATCCCAAATAGTCTAAACTCACAACTAAAGAAATTAGAAAAAGAACAAAACCTTAGTAGAAGAAGGGATATAAAGATCAGAACAGAAATAAATGAAACAGAAAATGAAAAGACAATGGAAAAAAATCAATGAAGCCAAGAGATAGTTCTTTGAGAAAATAAACCAACCTCTAGCCAATTTATCATGAAAATAAGAGAGGATACAAATAAACAAAACCAAAAACAGAAAAGGAGAAGTTACAACTGACACCACAGAAACTCAAAGAATTATAAAATAATTGTCTTGCCAATGGGTTTCAGCCCTGGGCAAGTTCGCTATGGATGAAATGTGACCAAAGAAAATGACAGCAAAACGTTCTTTGGGGTGAAAGGGTTTATTACCCGGCTTGTTCTCCAGCAGTAGGTTGAGCACTAGCCTCTCTGCCTCTGTTCAGAGCACTGGGCCGAGCTCTCTGTACAGTGCAATAATAGCTTATTGCCTAAAGGTGTGGAAGTGGTAGCCTAGCAACAGGCCAGTTACACCATCAGGTGGTTTAAGTTCAGTGAGGATCCTGGCCATAGGAACCCAAACTTCCCCACACTCTCCCCCTCCAGGATTCTTGCCTTACAATCTACACGCTTTCAATCTTCTGCAGTGGTCCCTGTGTGAGAAAGCTGGAGCACTGTAACCAGATTACACAACACAACAGAGGA